GAACTATAAATAAATATAAATAAATATTGACTACAGGAGGGGGAAATCCCAAAAGCTAGGAGGCGGAACAAGACAGGAGTTTCCATCAATGAGAAAACCACCTGCTCTGCAGTTCCAAAGCTGTCACCACTGCATTTCTTCTGGAGGAGGAGGTGAGCTGATGGTTAATCAACTCAGCTTCCAAGCCTTGTAGCTGAGGACCAACATCAGAGTGCTGGATTTGTTGCATGTGGAAAGGGTCTTTTATAATATGTTAGAGCAGTGTTGTCCAAACCTGGCCACTTTAAGGTGAGTGGACTTCAACTCCCAGAATTCCCCAGCCAGCCATGTTTGTAAAGTGGCCAAGTTTGGACAACACTGTGTTAGAAGAATGGTGTGTTTTGAAGGCAGTCCATGATTTATTTCTGAGTGCAAATTCAAGTGTGGCGGTAAGGTATCAGGCAACACTTTGCCCAAAGCTATTGTGGTTTCTCAAAGAAGATATCTTCTGGTCATAGATATGTATGGTTTATGGTGGCTTACAGCAATATTACCTTATTTTTGAGAGATGAAAGTTCATTTGTACTAGGTCTCACTTGTACCTGGGTATCTGAGAAGAAAAAGAGAGAATAGCTGATTCCTTAACCTACATGACACTGCAATTAAATTTCTCATTAAAAAACAACACTCTACATGGCACTGTATTTTAGACAGTGCTGGAAGGAGAGTGGTAGGCCTAGAAGAGCTGTATAAAGCATCTCCATGCTGATGTTGGTCTGCTCTAAAATCTCATATATCCATAGCTTGTTCTTGTGCATGTTTTCGCCATTAACGTAAAGGGAGTTCAGAGGCTATCTCTCCCAAAGGCTGTCATTCTGAATTGGCCTGGGTATTTCTTAACAGGCAAATCTTGCAGTTTTTTCTTCCCCATTTCCTTTTCCTAAAAATGTCAAGGAGGCTTTTTAAAAACAGGAAAGGTCAGGTGTGGTTCAGAGGAAGGATTGCCCTTCTATCCCCATTCCTGCTGCAGGTTCTCACATAAAGAAGATGGTTGGTTACTCACTTTCGTTGCTTCTCCTTTCCTTTCCTTTTGGGACGCAGACCTGCCAAAAGAAGACATTTTGAACACCTGAGGGCAGACCAACTGAATTGGAACGCTAGTGGGAAACGAACTAGGAAGAGGAGGAGAATTCATTAAGTATTACAAATGGTAGCGTGGATACAATCCATACTGTCTCAAGACTCATTTAGGATTTCAGAATAATATCTTAAGAACATTTAATTTCCATAGTTACAGGGCATAATTTGAAATACCAAATTATCTTTCTTTGTCTCCTCCTGGTGGTCTGGTGGCAGTGTTGACTTATCTCCAAGTGAATAGCTCTT